GTATCCCAGTATGCGCTGCAGTATGGAGCCGCACAGGTTGGATTCAACGGATCGGGGAGACTGTCATGACCCACCGCGGTGAGAAGCTCGTATGCCGCCGAAGAAGATGCAGTAAGTAGACGACCATCAGCTGACCACACGAAGGTCATGAAACAATCACGCTCGCAAGATTAGACAAGAATAAAGTGTACATCTGGGCTATGGTGAAAGAGGTCGTCACTGCAGGAGGAAACCAGGGAAACGCTGCAGAACATGGAAGGTATGAGTTTGATCCGGTCTTCTCAGGCGCCCCGCGTTCTTGTGATCCGTGATCCGATCATGTTAACCTTCCGCCCAAGAAGCTACGTCAAGATCTTTCCTCTTGGGGAATTGGGTAACGTAGACGTGCGCGCGAAGAATGGCAACGAGGGTGCGACAATGCATATTGCAGAACATGATACATAGCATAGATAACATGGCGTGAGACGTGACATAGAAAACGTACAAGACGGACATATGCGAGGTGAGAGTATAGGTATGAATTAGTATCAATATCGGGACGGGTAGACGGCGCAGAGAGGCGACTGAGAGATCAGTAAGACCGACGACAATACATGATCTAGATGTGCTCAATGACAACGTTCGCGGCAGAGCCCAGGTCAGCTAAGTAGCGGTCATTCCCGAATGTCACATTTTCAACCTTCGAAACCCAATGCGAGGAGATCGTAATGCGCATCCCTTTGCATCTGCCCGCACCAGCCAGATCGCTACGCACACGGGCCAGTGACAGAAGATCGTTCCAGAACTGGCCGGAGAGGTGTGATGCGGTGACTCGCACAGCGATGCAAGCGAGCTTCGGCATTGTCACGTCGACGCCGGTGTCGCGCTCCTCGGTGTTGCTCTTCAGAAGCGCCTTGAGGAACCCAATCTCTTCATGCTCGCTGTCGCCAAGGTTATCAATGTCGGCCATAAAGTATTCGACGTTGAGCATGCGCCGCAGATCACTGCATAGCTGCTTGACGTCGCGCTCGTCGCGGAGAGCCGTGGGGTCGAGTGGCAAGTCGGGTACCGTCGGACTGGGGAACTTCTTCGCCTCGGAACTCTTGAGGCAGCGCAGGTGAACCTTCCTTATCTTGCTGTCTGCGAAGAGAGACACCGCGTGCACCGCACTGAGTGGCGACACGGTGTCACGGACCTTGGGCGCGATGTCGGATTTGACTTTCACCACGTGAAGGTGCATACCGCATGCAAGCTCAGCTCTGGCGTACCCGTCGCTTTGAAGCTCATGTCGGCCGACGACAGAGAACATGATCTTGGGGTCTTCGCCACCAGGGCGTTCGCGCGCGGTTATGACCAGGGTATCCCGCTTGGACATCGCATGGCGGTCACGGCCGTAGTTCAAGATCTTGCTGTTTGCCGGCATCAGCGCTGGTCGGTAGAGGCAAGCTTCCAACGGCCAGGTAACCCCGTTCTCGGACCAGTCGGACCAGTTCGCGGTGTCAATCCGCACGTGTGCGAGGGAGAACGTGAACGTTGTGCTGACGAGCTGTGGGACAGCTATGATCTGACAGAGCTGGGAGAGGTTCCCATCGATGCTAGACTGGCACTTGAGCGCTAAGAGACGCGGGAACGGGGTGTCGTTGCGGTTCGCGGTGTATCCATCTTCGGGTACGGGCACGTCGTTGACGACCGTTGTGAAGGTCACGTCCAGACTTTCCAGGAGCACGCTCTCCGGTATCGCGCGGGTCAGAGTGTCGACGTCCGCAACGTGAAGTTTGGCGGATAGGAGGGATTTGGCGTGGAGAAGAAAGGCGCTATCCATCTTGAGTTTCTGGAGTTCCTTCAAGACGA